CCTAGCTCCCGGGCCCGCGTCCGGGTTAAAGTGACAGGAGCTGGGGCACAATTGGGCGCGCGCAAGTACATGTCTTTGTACATCCTCAGCAGCTGGGAAAGGTGGCGGGGTGGCAGTGATCATACTCAGGGCCTTGGGGAGGTCTGGATTGTTCTGTTTCCTGTCTCTGTTTCGGTCCGTCCATGGAATTGTTCGTTGTTATTCTTTCGGACGTGCCATCGGGGACTGGCACGGTGTCTCGGAGATGCTGATAGCGAGACAAGGCGTCGTCGAGTTGATTTGGATTGATATGTCCCGGGTTTGATTCGCTTCTATTCAGAGACGCAGGCATGCATATCTGAGTCCGCGGGTTTCCGGGACTTAGTTCCTGCAGGTTGCTGCAGCGCTCTGCAGACTGCACGTTGTCCACCCACATGCTGCTTGCTGTATGTAAGACAGGTGCCTACTGTTCCTGTGCAGCAGCATCATGTCTGCTGCACTCTACAGCCTGCGAGATTATGGATACCTACTTACTTAGAATCAGCATTGATCCATTATTTGCCGTTTGAGGTTTTTCCAAATATCCATCCCTCACTGCAGACTGCCACGTTCATCAATCAGAGCCAGTCCCATTTTAGCCGCCTGGCTTGTCCTGGTCTGTCGCAGGCTCGCAGCTGCAAGTGAGGCCTTAGGGCCCGCTGTGAGCACATGCACCTTCAGGGGTGTCCGCGCTTTGAAGTTGATTCTCCCAGGGTGCAAGGACGAGGCGAGCAGTGCCCAATTATTGCTAACGATTGTCTAATTGACCAGCGCTGCATGAGCCCTTGATGATGTTCACTTAGCGGTTTTGAATTTGATAGAGAAGAACAGGATGTGCACATGGATGAAGACATCAATGGCACGCTGCTAGACAGACTGAGGCCATGTAAAGCCATGCTTGCTAAGCGGTAACTGAGTCGTACCTCGACCACCTCCACGCCCGGAAGCAAATTGCTCCCTCCTAATTATCCCACGTGGGAGGGCCAAATACTGGCCCCCGACGTCTTGGCGTCGTCTCTGTTTATCTCGATCAGCGCTGAATCTTTAGCATGGCGAGTCTAGAGCTTTCTGATCCTCCAAAAATAATCTCCCCTACATAGCACTCCCAAACGTTGCTGGATTTAGCCCAAGCACACTGGATTGTACACGGAGCCCAGACACACAACTCTAGATTGAAACAAGATTACAACTGACACCGGGCAATTTCATACTCTACTGTCAGTCATGGCTCTGACAGACTCAAGACATGGCACATAGAAGTCGACCATATTCTTTTCCCACCCTCCGCCCCGCCTCCTTAGCATGTCAACTGACAACCTTCGCCATGTACCTGACAAAGTAGACGCTAGGCGTCTCTGGGTTAAAGGACAGTAGGACGGGCAGTCCGCTGAAAGCTTCATCGTTGCATTCCCGGCTTGAACGGCATGGGTCTTGGCTGTTGCCCACATGCTAGCGGTCACGACTGGGGCAAGCATCAGGCCGCACGAAACAAAATGACTCCATTCCGTCAACCCCGCTGTCTCTCCAGCTTCGCGCGCGGTGATCACGTTGAATGAGCCTCACAACCTCCTTCAATTCCAGCCTTGGCACAAAGCACTGCAGAAGCGGATCGAGATGCCTAATCCTACCTGTTCCCGTCGCTTAAATGTCACGACATCAGGCTTTTGGAAACGCGCGTATCCGCTTCGAATCGCAGACAGGCTGTGCTCCCCGGTGGAGGCATATGTCGCACCGTTACTCAGTCGTTTTCTTGGCAGGCGGACAGCGCCATCTTCGGACTCCTTGGCCCCTACTTACTGCGTCAATGAGGCGATGTGGCATATCGCTATCACGAGGCGGCTGTATCCGTACGCCTTGGCGCAACTCCATCATCGAGATTGCGCAAGCCGTTGCCCCCCGACGTCAATCTTGTTCAACGAAATAAGGCCATCAAGGGCCTCAGCTTAACAGCTTGCAGTTAAAGCCGAACATGGCAATTTCCCACTCCGGCTGACAGAAGCCACTAGAATCCCACTTCTGATACACAATGTCACTCCGGATATCTTTCCGTAAATCATCTCCCAGTTCATCCATCCTTTGCCCCGTCTGAAAGGGCCCTAATATCTGGGCAGACTCAAGGTTGACTCGCCGCCGCCAGACTTCGAGCAGAAAAACACACTGCCAGAAGGTCCAGCCCGCTTGTTAGACCATCTCTAGTCATTGAGCAAAAATCGCTGCAGAGGGACAGCCAAGTTCCGAGGCCTGCCCTATGAACGCGCCAGGCGCACCTCCTTTAACCCCAGATTTTAGGGCTCTCCCTTGAAGACTACGCCTGCAGGGAGCTTGAGAGAGATGCCATCGCACACCCCTGCAGGGAACTTTGTCAAGCCTGACTTCGCCCTCCTCTCACTTTGCTCTTCTGCTGGCGGAACGTTGCTGGGAGCATCCCAGAGCTGTTGGCAGCCCACGAAACCCGATTCGCCTCGTTTGCGGTGCACGTCTCTCCCTCTCTTTGCACAATTAGCATACTTCATATCTACTTGACGAGAACCATCCATCATCCTGTCGCTTGTCCACGCGCACGCAGAGAAATACCACCCAAATCAAGGTTTGAGCAGTCCCTGCTTCTGGCCGCAGATCATCCCCCCCTCCTGCTTCTTTGGATATCATGCTTTGGCTGTGCCGGACAGCTCGGACGCTCTTCGAGCGAGGGGGGCCTGCGGTTCCGCAATCCGGTCACCCATGTTCCAATGTCTCCTCCGCGCCCACCGACCACCTCGGTGACATTCATCTGGAGATGATGGTCTTGGCCCGAACTCCGAGGTGTGCCGCAAGCAATTAGAAACGCCATTTTAACCGTTGATTGAGTCTGGGATGCTCCGTGCTGGGCTAATCATAGCCCGTTACCGCCCAATCAATCCCTTGGCGAACCTCTAGAAGCCATGTCTCAATGAGGCTGTGACCGTTGGCGTCGTTCCTCAACATCGACAGCCATTCCTCCCGTTTTATCTGCCTCGTGACGACGACTCCGCTTGGCATAAATGAGTATCCTCTGTCAGTGTTGCTACCTTCAAGTGACTCGACCCCTATTCTTTCACTCGTTGAATTGCGATTTCACATACCAGGGCGGACTAGTCCAGAGAGCCACCACCCCTCAGCCATAGATACGAGTCAAGAAGCTCGAGTAGCTTTGGCCATAGGCTATGCTTTTCCCGTAACTTCTGACGAGATTGCTGAGACCAGACGATACAGGATCCAGCATACTCGCATTGTTTGCGATGTGCGCGTGTGGCTGACTCGACAGAGCCTCAGAGTCGTGCATAACAAGCTATGCTGGTGCTCTGATGAGTTGCTCCCGTACCAAGTACCGACATTGTCTGCTTCCTCACGCAACGTGGAACACGCTCTTAAGCTCAGTTCTCTGTGCTCCACGCCCTAGAGCAAGGAGCTTGGGCTATCCCCCGGCTCGATACATGTGCTGCAGACTTGTCTCCATTCTTCCCGCCTTCTTCTCCCCCGCGGTCCCCGGGATTGCGGGTGAAGACGGGACTTCTCAAAGGCCCCAGCGGCGGCGCCCGTCGTGTCTTGTCCCGCGATTCACCCGTCAACACACTCCCGCTGACATCGTCCTCCTTTCGATCTGTGTTGCGCGGCTGTTGTTGCCCCTTCTGCTTTACGTACTCCACAAGAGTTTCCGACTCGTCAGTGAATCGAGAATCCGTGCTCTTGCCAGCGGGATGCCCCAGTATTCGTATTGTTTCCGGGCCGTTTCCGATCTGTCGTGCCCTGTCTCCCGTCGAGATCCCGCTGCATCTCCGCAAATCTCCGCTGATAGGCCATCTTCGAGGGAAAAGAGTGGTTCGGCAATCGGGGCATTTGCGTCGATGCGGCTCTTGGTCTCAACGTCAGGTCTCACTCGTCATGCCTCGTCAACTACATAGCCATCGAAATGGGGATGCTTGAGTAGCCTCAGCTGCGATACGGCAGTGAACCCACAATCCGAACATGATGGGGCCGGCCCGTTGTTGCTTGATTTTAAGGCCGTGACGGGCGTTCTGATGATGCAGGCTGCCGCATACTTTTGCGTTTAGAGGGCTACCATACCATGAACTTGGTATCCGTCTGAATGACAAAGTTCGATATCCCAAGAATCGCCGAGAGACTTCCGTACCCGACTGCAAGATGGTGGTCTAATCATGCTGGGAATCTTGCTCTGCTTCACATTGCGCGTCCTTCCACTTCGAAATTTGCAAATATGTGAAGATACCTCGAGTCGTACGAAGTGGTGGCTACGAACACTGCTATCACCACAGCAGCCCCTGGATTGATTCGAGACATTATGATCGCCCTTTACCATCTCATACTGGATGCCCTTCCATCGACATTACGTACTGGTATCGGCGTGCCTGAACATCGTTCTCGCATCAGTTGCACATTCGACCGCTTAGGTAAGTCAAAAGTGCATTCCCCAGCCCGTTACGATTTCCTTTCCAGGATGTCCCGGTGACGAAGCCACTCCGCACCGTCCGTCTCCCCGCATCACCATCTCCCGCCCTCGCCATGACCTCTGGTCCATCGGCAGTTATTTTATTGGCTATTAAACTTTCGGAGGCCATTTGTGTCGCCGAACCAACGTCTGTGGCTATTATTGTGAGGAAATGCCGTCTGTTAGGCCAAGCTAGACAGGCCGGTGATGTCAATAACGTTCTTCGGCCTCCAGAGTGATACGAGATCAGAGTCGCATACGTGTGTTGAGACGTAGATTGATCCTGTATCTGAAGCAGTCCGAAGGGATCGTAAACGAACCGCATAGAGATATCTAGCTGCCACCGTCCTCGAAGGTCCGAGATTTGCATTTGATTCCTGCAATCTGCTGGATAGTGACATCGTCTGCCACCATTTACTGTTCTCGACGTCAATGTTCCCCAAGAGCTGGTAACGACGCATCCTGGAGCATAGCTAGTCATTCACCCGCGCGCACACACACGCATACACACCCAATCATGGACTCTCCGCTCGACGCCCTAGACCAGAACGACCGGAGCCACACCTATACCGAAACGGCCGGCCTTTTCATCCGACAATACTGGCATATCATTCTGTCTGTGATCTTGATCGGAAATGTCCTCCGCACCCGGTACCTCTCCCCCCTCCGGAGCTATCCGGGGCCGTTCCTCGCTTCGACTACCCGTCTTTGGAAAGTCATCACCACCGCGTCCGGCCGCTCGCACCTACAATATGTTGCGTTGCACCGGAAGTACGGACCCGTCGTCCGCATCGGACCTAATGAAGTATCCATCGCCTCACCAGAGGCTGCGAGACATGTTCTGAGCGCTGGAAAGAGGTTTTACAAGACGGCGTTCTACGGAGTGTTCCCTCCGCCAGAGAACCCGGACATCTTCACCGAGGTCAACGAGGAGGCTCATGCGCGCAAGAAGAAGGTTGCCAACGTGCCTTACAGCATGGCGGCGATGCAACATCTGAGTCCCTTTATTGACGACACCATCGATCTGGTGGTGGCGAAGCTTGGCGGATTCGCGTCGGCGCCTATGGAATACAAGGCAGATAAGTCCGTGGACCTGGGAGCGTGGTTGCATTACTTCGCATTTGATGTTTTGGGAGAAGTAGCCTTCTCACGGAGCTTCGGCTTTTTAGCCGAGGGGAAAGACGTCGAGGATGCCATCGCGACGATAGATCGCTCACAGGCATACAATGGCATTGTTGGTCAAATCCCCTGGGTGGACCATCTGCTCCGTCGCAACCCTCTTTGGAAGCTTGTGCCAAGTCTGGACACCAAGAACGCTCCGATCACGAGAATCGCGCTAAGTGAGATGGAGAGACGACGACCGTTTGACAAGGAGAGTGAGGGTAAGTTGAGGAACGATGACGGAAGGCAGGATCTTCTGGCAAGTCTGATCAAAGGGCACCTGAAAGACCCTGAGAGATTTACCGAGGGCGACGTCTTCGCTGTTGCTCATGGGGCGATGTGAGTCGCATCAACCTTCTTGGACTGCTGGAGTAAGACTAACATAGGTATTACAGCTTTGCCGGCTCTGACTCCACTGCATCAACTATGCAGTCGTTGTTCTGGCACGTTTTATCCTCACCAGACGTTCATAAAAGGCTAGTAGATGAGATCACTGAAGCTGTCGATGTCGGTGTGCTTCCCGCCACAGGAAACATTTCATGGAGTGAGGCCCAAGGTCTCCAGTACTTCCAAGCTTGCCTGAAGGAAGCCATGCGGGTGCGGCCTGCTGTTGGGCTCAACATTACGCGTGTTGTTCCCCCTGAAGGCGCGGAGCTGGACGGGCACTTCTTCCCTGGCGGCACCGAAATCGCAGTCAACGGATGGGTCTTGCACCGGGACAAACGCACATTTGGCGAGGATGCGGACGACTTTCGGCCGGAAAGATGGTTGGTTGAAGTTGACAATGCTAAGAAAATGGAGAGATACATGTTCCAGGTAAGCACCTTCGGCTTAAGGTCACGGAGAATGGTAGACTGACAAGCATCACTAGTTCGGCGGAGGCAGCCATGTATGCATAGGACGTAATTTGGCACTGCTCGAGATCAACAAGATTGTACCACGGCTTTTCAGAGACTTCAAGTTTGAATTAGTCCACCCAAGTCAGCCGCTGAAGGCTAATGCCACGTTCTTTGTGGTGCAGGAAGGGCTCGAGGTTTATGTTCAGAGGCGGGACTCCCCTTAGAAAGTTTATAGTGGTGCATACATGGAGCAATTTGTCACAGGCTTAGTTTGCGATAGTTCTTAATCTAGAGCACAAGTCCCAACTACGTTTGATGATTGAGTCAGTAAAGCTAGGCTGCTTCACCAGACCTTGCTGTCAACCCTGACGTAGAGGCCCTCAGATGATTCAAAACTTAGCCTATCTATCCCATAACGGAATTGCCCATTTCTCTCTCCCTCTTCCTCTCCTTCTCCCTTTTTGCTTGCCTTAGCGTTGGGTGTTAGCATTCCGTAGACTCGCAGGACCACGAACGTACAAGCCTATGCGTCCAAAATATTGTACAGTTTTACCAGGGTCACCAATGAGAGGCGCCGATGGTTTAGTGGTAAAATTCTCCGTTGCCATCCAGCAGCGTCGGGGAGCCGGGGGTTCGATTCCCCCTCGGCGCAACTTTTTGTCCTCGCTGGCCTCAACTCAGTGTAACAACCTATTTCTTTTGCCATGGTCAGCTAGAATCATTAATGGAAATGACACCGAGCAGCTTGCATATAATAAGTTTGTCACTTGTCAGATAAAGTTGTAATAATCTTTCTTTATTTTGAGAATATTGGACCCTAATGAGAGAAATGGTGGAAAACGTTCGTTAACTACCATCGGCTATCGACCTTGATGCGGTACCGCCCTCAGTTTCTGTAACTCCCATTGATCTCTAGACGATCCTGCGCGCGATGTTTGAAAGGTCGGAACGGTCGAGGGTGCATTTGCACCACTTTGTATGCAGCGATTGGCGATCCTTTCTTCGATCGTTTGTAGCGATATTGAACGACTTGAAACGGGCCTAGGAGTCGTTGATCTCCACCCTCTGCTATCCCTCGAATCTTCTTGTTCAACCACTCTGGAGGCTGAGATGCCGTCAAGTGGAATGTCTTCCCACCTGCCGAGGTCCATGCCCCTCCTAGCCCTCGAAGTGGAATTGTTTCGTTGGCGTCTCCTGTTGCTGATCTTGCTAAACTTCTTTGAGCAATAGAAGCCAAGGCGGCATACGAGCCATGGAGGGAGAACCGAGGGCCAAAGGAAGATGGCGGCAAAGTACCAGAAACCCAAGAGGGCTTTGTCTCTTGTCCTGCGTTCTGTAGCTTTGTACCAGGCTGGTAGCGCTGCCAAGCGGAAGTTGTTGATGCAGACAAGAGAGAGAACGCCGATCATGGCGTATCCCAATACGCATGCTACGATGATTGAATCTTGGAGCTCCTCTTGAGACGTGTTGGGGTCGAACTGTGGCGTACCCACAGGGCCTATCATCATGCGAGAGGAAAGTGTTGGCGGCATGGTGGCGAATGTAGTATTGAATAATACGATGCAAATGTTATAATGTATGCTTTTTGTGTTCGACGGTGGTACAGAGCTCGTGGTGTTGTAAGTTAAGAAGGCGAGAATAATTAGACGCTGGGAGGGAGACAAATCTCGTTGGACTGATGTATTTCAGGCAGACGGGAGAAAGTCTTGCCGCTTAGGGTTCTGAAGATTTTGGGAAAGCATGGCCATCAAGGCGGAAAGCCATAAAGGGTTGACGTGGAATTTGGGACGGGGTCGCCGACTCCATGGTAAAGTCCTGTACGTGGCGAGCTCCACCTGGCTGGCCGTATACTCGACTTAATGGCGATAAAGGTTCTGTACGAGAACCTAGACGGTAAACCGTTTCTACTAAATGTTCACCTTTATAGCTTCTCTGCACACAACAGTAGAAATACAGAATTTTCATGTCATATGAAGGACGACAAGTGATTGATATTCATTCTCGTCATCTCCATGCAGTTTGTCTGCATTCACTGAACTCAGACAGCACGGGATGAGGGATTCTAGCATTGGAAACCGGAATGAACCCATTTTAGCAAATTGGTGAGCGATACGGATTAAGTCAACAAAGGGTTGCTGGATCATACTTCTACTAGGAACGGAGCCTTCATTGAAGCTGCAACACGGACTTATCTTAACATGAAGGAAAATGGGCAATGAATTGAGCCAATGGGAACAGAGACATGCTTTTACTGTGAAGGTTGCACGTTCTCACAGCTATTCGGGGTATCCAAAATCATATATGACAACTCAAGATGCCTTCTATATTGACAAACTAGCGGCTAGCCTCAGACATAGGTCTTTTTCCACGCCATGATTAGGAATAAGTGAGGGTATAAAGTACAAGATGGGAGATGTCTATAATGCAATGCCAATGTTGATGCTGAGTCCTTTCCATATGCGTGCGTGCTTCGTCGATACCAAACTTCCAGCCATTTCTCCCGTTATTTAGAAAGCAACAAATACCTTCCAGCCGGTCCTCTTCATCCTGGCAATCAAAATGAATGTTGTCCCCGCAATGCAGAAGACGCCAGAGAACACCTTGATACCGACCCAACCGCCGGGTCCTGCCAGGATCGCACCGTTGATCGGGTTCGTCGTCAGTCCTCCGATGGAGTTCGTCAAGAAGGTGATTCCCGTTCGGAACCCAATCTCCTGGAACGGCGAGATGGCTGCCACCAGCGGCGCAATCAGCGATACGTACGCGCCCGAGCAGAAACCGAACAGCACGGCGAAAGCAATCAGCGCGCCATCCGAGTTCGCCGGGATCCAGAGCGCCAGCATCCAGATACTGGTCAAGTAGCAGACCACCACGAAGATGTTGTACTTTCCAATCTTGTCACCAAGAATGCCCGAGAAGATACGTCCAAACAAGGATCCAGCATTGAGGATAGCGACGAGGTACTGCGCCAAGTCCGGGCTCATGCCTGCCTCGAGGGCCTGTACCTGGATGTAGTTGATCGGGACAAAGATGCCGTATGTGAATAGGAAGAAACCAATGACGACGCAAACGAACTCGAACTCCTTGAACGGGCGCAGGAGCATCTCCTTGGTGACCTTTTGCGGACGTGGGGGGTGGTACGCGCGGACCGTCAAGTTGGCAATGATGAGAAGCCCCAAAATCATGAAGGCGCAGGTGCGCATGGCCCAGGGATATCCGACCTGCTTGATGAGCCTCGTGACCATGATCGGGAAGACGATGCCGCCGATGGACGAGCCGGTCGAGAGAAGGCCGAAAGCGGCGCCGCGCTTGATGTTGAACCAGCCGTGGATCGTGTTCATCGCGGGTTGGAAGATGGCAGAGACACCGATGGCAGAGCAGATGCCCTGGGCTAGGAGGATCTGGTAGTACTGAGTTGCGAGGGAGGTCATCATCAAGCCGAAGACGTGGAGAATCGTGCCGACAAAAATGAGCCAGCGGGGACCGTAGTTGTCGTAGAGTGTGCCGATGACAGGGCCCTGTAGTCTCCAAGTCAGCCAACAAAACGATGTAAGCGACATGCAAGAGTGAAAGTCTTACCATGGCCATCATGAAGAAGATCTGTAGCGAAGGGATCCAAGAAATTGTGCTCGGAGAGTAGTTGCTCAACAAGTCATTCTGATAATACTCCTGAAAAGCGCCGACGCCTACGCCAAGACACACGTTAGTATTCAAAACCGACACGACCAAGAATGAGGCTCAATGCAAGGTTCCACGCGATGCAACGTACTGTTCACCCATCCAAAACTGCAGAAACTAGTACACCACGCTCCGAGAACAACAAGCCATGCGGTTGCTCCGCCATCTGGCGCATCGCTTCCGGGATATGACGGCTTCACGGGAGGGCCTCCATGTCCCTTCTCCGGGTCGGCGACGGCTTGGTTGAGGCTCGATTGCTGGCCTTCGGACTCGTAGTCTGTCCTGTCCGGGTTGTGGTCGGCCTTGGTGTCGGGCATGAAGGGCTGCGGGTCTGCGACGGTTGTCTGGGAGTCCGCGGGGGACGAGATGTGTTGTCGATTCGACATGTTGTGTGTCTGGCGTTGTTGTCTGTATCCAAGAGAAAAGCAAAACTGCTGTACAGGTTCACAATAGCTTGAAGACGTTGGCTGAAGTGAGCTTCTCTTTGACTGCGGAATTGTCTAAAGAACAAGGTCCCTAGAATTAAAGATCCAAATGGGACAGGGGCGAATAAGTAGTCCAGCCCAAACGGACAGGCAAGATTGGAAAAAAGAATCAAAGGCGTCAGCGGTCCCACGTTCCAGATGGTAGGTCCGCGCCGTGAATCTCCATCGGACCAGTCCAGGTGTGCCTAACGGCCCACCGCCCCCTATCCCATGTCCAATTGACAAAACAAACACCCAGATCTCAGGCAAACAGACACCCCATTGTGACGAAAAGCAATCCAATCGGTTTCCGATAGCACCGAATGGATCTGAATCTGACCAAGCCCAGCTGCATATCTCGCCTCGCGCAGCGAATTTGCGCGGCTGCCCCCGCTGTGATTGATTGTTGTTGGTCGAAACGGGTCCGGGACTCAGGAGGTGGACTGGATCCTTTCGGCGGGCGGCGCACTCGTAACCGCCGATGCCGAGCATGTCACTTACACCGAAAATTTAGGCTTGAGGTACCCCACGTGGGCTCTCATAGTCTCACGAACAGACTTCGGCGCCGAAAACTCCACCGCGACGAGGGAGAAAGGGGCCGTCGACTCGTCTCCCTGCACCGAGATTGGCTGGCCTTATCAAGCTAAAGATCTTTAAGAATGCAGGCCGGTGGGATTTCCATGAGCTTGATTTTGACCTCGTGGAGCCCTTTTCACGTGGATTTATCAGCTTGTGCTGGCCATGCGCTAACTAACATCATGCAAATCATCAAACGTTCGACTCGATCCGCCGGTTCGATGATGACGGTTGGACTTTTCTTTACATTTGTGCCATGTATGCCTTCCTCCGGATACCTGTCACCTCCGACCGACAGCGCCGAGCATAAGGGAAGATCCGAAAGTCATTTAAGGTACCTGCACGTTGCAGATCAGATTTCAAACAGCACGGCGCTGGTGATGCCGTGATCCGATAAAAATGTCGGCGCCGCTGAGGAGGGGACGCCGTGCCGGAGGGATGCCGGACATAGGCGGGACCGCAAAGTCCAGCTCCGGGAATCGTCGCCTGCGTGATGGATCCTTACTTCCACCCTTCTTTCGAGCTCCCATTCGATGACTAGATTTCCTCTGATCCTGAAAATGCCACCACAGGGTTCACGAACCAGCGCAATATGTGCTACTCGTCATTCAGCAGCTTACAAAAACCGGAGCAAGCAGACAGCACGTGGAACCGTGGCGCCGAAGTACGTCCATCACAGCCGACTCTCTTTCCCCACCCAGAGCTAGATCCATCGCACTGGGCCCAGCACTCGGTAGTGATCAATCTGATTAGATAATGGAACGTCTGTGGATCATTCTGAATCTCGGACTACGGAAGCCGTAGAATATTTTTGATGCCGTACTGATTGGGGTTAAGCGAGTTAGAGTCTGTCGCATCTACTAAGTATCTTCTAATTTTGTTGGTCTCTCAACCAGCGGCTGTCCGTGTCCTTGAAGAGTGCGGCCTGACCTCGACTCTAGAGTTCAGGTCTGGGAGCTTGTCCATTGGCTTCCTATGTGCGAGGGGCTTGAGGAGATATCATCAACATATGACTTGGTATATGACAACCATAACGAATGGGTCATACAGGGCTGAGAGAATACAGAATAAATTGAAAAGATGTCAAAGTCTGGAAATACTGCTTTCGTCAATAGCTACTAAGTGTCACCAGCAGCGATGGTAACCTAGGATGAGTTAAGTATCTTTTGGTACGCCTCAGCTATCCCGCCAATGGCATTACTTTGGCCACTTGCTCCTCATTTACTGGCCAATCCCCCTGGACCAGCCCAATGCGTACCCAGCTTGACCGCATCTTCCAGCCACCTGTCATCCCGACTGAGAGGTAGGGGAAGCTGCACATCCTTCGAGCTTCGTTACGCTTAGATACCCACGAGTTGCAACGTTCAGATGGATATGGTTCAAACGGATATGTTTCCCTTGTCTCCATTAGCGTTCTCAACAATGGCGGCTCAGCGGTCTGTCGACATCTCAATTCAGGAAATCGTCGATCAGAGATGGTTTATCGGCGACTGACACCTTCTTTTATGCTCATCCGAGCGCACCCCCGCTCTCTAGAGCGACACTTGCGGCTCATTTTGCAGCGTTTCTGACGTATCCAAACCACCCGCATCTCAGCCCCTCTCAACCACATCCTCGGGGCTTGTACGACTAATTGAAAATACCGGCGATCGCTCTGCTGTCTGGGCCATTGGAGACGCCTATCTTAAGGTTGAAACTTTCGATCGGCCAGGAGCGACACGGGAGCATGTCACATTAGCTGGTGTGAAGACCATGAAACCCATTCTTTATCACTAGATTCCCCTAGAACCCCGTAATGGCTACTCCCGTTTTCAGGCTCTCGCCGTTTGCGATAAAGGTCTATAGGACATTGTAAACGGTTCAACGTGGAGACATTAATCAGTGGTATTGCAAACAGACATTAGGGTAATCGCGTGGTGGATTTCAAGATGGTGGGAAAGAGAGAGATAGATCGGGTGGATTGTGGTTGATTCATTGCCTCTGGATCCAGAAGATACTTTGCCCAAGACACTTTGGCATCTCTGAGCCTCGGGGTGGGGGGTGATGAAACCGCCATACATGATGATCCTTCCGACTGTGGCGTACTTGCGGCTGAAGTTCTTAAGCCCCAACGTTGCGGCGACGAACCTCAAACTCCTTAGGAATCTCGCTTCCATCCACCACCTTCCCGTACAACTCCTCAATCTCCTCCTCACTCAGCCCCTTCAGCTCCCAAATCGTCCCATCCTCCGCAACAATCTCATCCGCTGGGCCCAAGCTCCCCTCACACTCACCCTCGCCCTTCAAGCACACCTCCTCTTCCATCCCAATCGCCCGCTTCTTGCTCGTAAACTGGTACCGCGCACCCCAGTAGCCACCTGACATGCACGTCCACACGACGTTGGACTTGATATGCGTAGTCTTGATGTTGGTGCACTGCTGGTTGTGTGTGCCGTAGTAGGTGATGCGCCAGTTGGTCGGGACGCCGCGCCACGCGATGGAGGGGATTTGCCCCGTGCCGGCGCCGGCGTTGATGCAGGTCCCCGGGTTGACGTTGTTCCAGCGGCGGGAGGCGCCGTTGCAGTCGTTCTGGGAGTGGAAGTAGACGTCGATGGCGGAGGCAGTAGCGGCGAAGGTGAGGATGAGGTTAGTGAGCTGCATTTTGATGGATAGGGTTTGGGGATATGTTGTATAGAAATAAGTTAAGAGTCTTGTTTAGGATGATAGTGTGAACTATTGATAGTATTGGTTGTAGTGATGCGATTGGAGTGTTGATTGTGTTGTTACTGAGGATGATTGGAAACAAGAACTAGATATCCAGCAGGAGAAGCCGTCCTTTTATCTTCTATTCTCGAGGCCTACTCCTCTGAACTTCTCTCGCTACAGTTAGCACTCTTTGAGATGCTCTTGTGCGCAGCTCGCTCTTGTCGATATTGCTTGGTTCCACAATATGCTGATATAGCGCTCCGCCCCGTGGAAGTGGGGATTGTTTCCCTACTAGACATCCCATTTTGAGCAACGGTTAGAAGCGTAGCCCACATTTTTCTAGAAGTATTTCACATAAGATTGGCCGTGTCGGACTTACTTGATAATTTCTGGATTATGGGATTCTCAGCTGAGGTGATGAATTGCGAACTTATGGGTGTTGATCCATGTAGATTAGGTACCTTAATTGAAATTTGGCATCTTAGCGCTGACCAGAAGCTGCGGCGCCCTTCCTAGTGATCGCTAAGACTGAGCGGAAGGCCGAAGTTTCTCACACATCAATATCCCACCTACCGAAATTTCAATCGACTAAAGTTTCAATATACTATACTATTGGTCGTACGAGAGTGATAACAAGAAGAGTTTTTATGCCTCCAGTCCAGTTCAAAAGGCCACCAGAACCCGTATCTTGGAGTCGTCAACTTCATCTTGATTCGGGATTCTCGTAGTCATTACAAAATGCAAGTGTTCTATGAAATCTCAATCCCAGCTTTACCAAGGAGAAGCTTTCTGGTAAATTTAGGGCACATGTATCAAAAGGTCTAGTGTTCGTCTAATAACACCCACAGAGTTTTGATGTCGATTAGGTTCTGCCATCTCACCTCACTACACTCAAAGCAAGCTTCGTCTGAAGTCACCCATGACAGGCCTACGGTGGGCTCACCGCATCTTCCCGAGTCCGAGTAATGTTCCTACGTCAGCAACATCCAGCTGTATTCTATTTCGAAATAGGTCCGAATGCATGTCTTGCTCCATTAGAAATACGAGACATTCGGACTGTTCCCTGCAGGCTAAGCATAAGCGACATGTCGAAGCAAAACATCTGACAATCAGCCATGATCAATCGCGCAGGTGATAGGCTTCTCCTCAACTACTAAAGTAGAAGAAGACTGAGACCTCATAGAGAGATTTAACAAAAGAACATTGTGCTAAGTGGGATTTTGGAATGTTCTGGAGATTGATAGATGCATTGACAGTCTGATGTCAAGAAGCCCTCCTGCTGTAGAGGGCAAAGTTTACTCGGACTCGTATCACCTAAGCACTAGCCCTGCTGAACCTCGGATCCACAGGCATTTACTACCATCAGCCGTGATTCGAGACTGCATCTTAACTATCTGCACGTAAGACGGCTTGCTCGAAGGATCCGAGGTAGGAGGCGGCCCGCTTAACACTATCGGGCGGTGCCTGAATGCTGAACGACGTTTAGGGGAACGGCATCAATCCTTTGTGGGCGATCATAAGCAGTTTAAGAACGAGCCTGTCATTGTATGAGCCCTGCGAAATTGTTAGGTAATTGAAGAACTGAAATCGCGTGTATGGCGCGTTGTTGGAATGCCCAGGGACTTGACGCTGCCGCTTTGAGAAACGTTGCACTCAGAAGGGGATCGGTATAAGAAGACCGGGTTTCGAGTCGAAGAGGAGAACTAACCTCATTAAATCAACGCAGAACAATAAATGTTGACACCAAACATCTCTTACTAGATTGAAGTTTCATTGCCGTTCAGCTTGAATCATTGTCAAATGATTATGAAAATTTTCATCCAAGCCACGGCCATCGTCGCCGCCGTGACGGCGGCCCACATCCCCGTCAGAAGAGCCGATATTCCTAACGGCTTCCGCCTCTGGGCCAACATGACCTACCCCGACCTCCCGCCGGAGTTCGGTCCCGATGTTCAGGGTCAAGAGCTCAGCTACGTCTCCAAAGCCGATTGCCTGGCCGAAATCGTTCTTGCACCGGCCGGTCAAGGATCCATCTTCCGCACCGATGACGACACGGTTGGCGTTGCCCATCTCGGTGACGAGTCTTCCCCTTCTGCCGGCATGGTCATTACCCCTGGTGGTACCGCGACAGTACCGAGCCCGAACACTGTGGAGCTGAGTTGCTTGGGTGGCACCCATGGGGTTATTGTCACAGCGGATGGCCTGGATTACCCAAAAGAGGCCAGTCCCAACGGCGGATTCATGGCATGCAAGAGGGAGAATGCTGTCGCTCTGAGCTTCATCCGAGCTGGCCAGAGACCACTTTTAGGCTGCAGTGTTGTCCAGCTTCTTCCCATCTACTAAGGGATTGAGGTGGGCTATTTATCAAACTGCTTCCATGAGGATGCGTGCCGAGTATGCTGAGCAGTATTATGTATTCCGTACTCCGTATGTCCGCAGAGTTTCAATCCTGTTAGATTAAAATCTGCTCTTAATCGCATCATGTCCAAGATTAGTGTGCAGGTGAGCTCCCGTTGCCTACTTCAGCTGAAAAGTCCTGAAAGGATGCCTGGCTCCAGGTTGCGTGACCTTGATGGTAGGTGCCGAATTTGAGGGGCGCCAGGCCTCCGCCGAGTGACTCAACCGGGCGGAATCTTAGACCTTCAAGGTGATGTACTTTGCTGGCGTCTATAGATGTACCAAACCCTGCTGAACTTTGTAGGAACTCGTGAAAAAGTAAAAGGGGGTATAAAAGCTTTTAGTCTTCCCCGCGTGTCTTGAGATCCATCGACAACAAATTATCTGCGATTGTTAATCTCATAATGGCTATTTCGGTATCCCAAGCTCCACCACCCATGGACTCTTCACAGACTCTTACTTCTTTCAACTACTTCAGGTCTCTCCCCCCGGAGATTCGGTGTATGGTGTGGACAGAGTTCTACTTGGAGCCGCGAAAATTCTATCTTCGTGAGGGGAGTTCTTCGACAGCCGTCGATCGATGGCCTTTTGGGTCATCGAGGGATGGAACTCATATACGCAATCGACGGAATGCTTGAACGTTGCATGTTCACGAATCATCGCGGCGGTACCACGAGCTGATCGACACGGCCATTAATCATGAGTCAGCGTTCGTGGCTCAACGGATTCGCCCTAAGACTTGGATCAGTGAGTCGTTCAGCACCGACATAGATATTGACTCTGAGGAGTCAGACGACTGCCCCCCTCGAATATACTTCCGGATCAGCTGGTCCGTCGATTACATCGTGCTTTGCCTGAAGAAGGAATTGTGCGGTTGTCCACCGTTGACGCCAACGTGGTTTCGCAAGATCCAAAACCTGGTGTTACATGGACACGGAGGATATCTTGGTTCGCGGACCTGCATCACATCTGAGAACCAGTGGCTTTTGTCGAGCAGAACGTATCTAACTGATCTCACAAGGATCCTCCGCGCGTCATCGACTATGGCTGATGGGTTTCCTTTCAACGATGCGGCATACTTCCAGACCAAGTACATCCTTCGAGAAGCTTCAGGAATATCGGACGGCTGGAGAAACATCACCTGCGAAAAGATGTCTTATTCGAAGGAATTTTCCTTGTCAATGACATCACGGCAACCGGGATGGAACGAGTTTATTGATAAACTTCGTTTGAGGTCCCGATGGATACGGGAAGATGAGACGTCACTCGAGGAGGTTGATAAAATGTCAGAAGTTGGTGAAGTGGAAGGTTCCAAACAGTTTTTCAAAGGACTACAGTTGGACGGGTTGTAGGAAAAAGGTGAGTTGAGTTACTTCACGCTACGACATTCGTCCCAAAGCGCTGGAAACCACACAGGTATAGGTACGTCCAAATTTCTTTTCAACAGACCATGTATCTTGGCTGGTCTCTGTAGGTAGGTAGGTAAACAGGCAATTGGAACTTGTTGTCTCAAAACAACAAATGAAACATGACAAGCTTCCATGAACGCGGCTAAAACGACGCACGCCGAGCCCACACAAGCATCTGACATCTGCAATGCCACCCTTGGCTTGCCATGTGGTGTGTTCTCTCTACCAACAGTGCTGAGTCGTGAAGTTGTCGGACCGAGATCGACCGATTGCCGGAGCGCATGTGGACCAACAATGACCTTCTGTGCGAGCTGTTAAAAGCCATGCGGCCCAGCAGCTTTCGCGTTTTCTAGATTTCACCCGTCCTCCTCGTTCCCAGGAAGGGCACTAGTTCCAGCGACCTGAATCCGGGGGACAGGAACCCTACCCCTCCTTCATGTTCATGGGAACAGGATTGTCCTACGCTCTTCATTCCTGGGAACGGGATCCCCCTGTCTGCATGTCCCTAGGGACGGGATTAGCTGCCAATTGCGTCCTAGCAGTGAATAAGAACAGACTCAGCAGTAATTAGTCGCGGGTCACATGGGAGGGAGAGCTGCCATTGTTCCAACACGCGGGCCATCCAGGGCCGACAACACCCCCGCGATTTACCCCAACTCGGCCCTTTATGAAGTTGGAGTTGCCGGGCCAGTAATGTGCCCGCGCATTAATACGACGCGACGAACCAATCGACGGGCTGCGCCGCTTTCAACCCCCTGACGCCGTCCCCATTGGAGCGCGTCGCCGCACAACAGATTTCTCCACCGAGCTCGTTGTATCAAGACCCGATATCCGGCGCTAGAAAAAGGCGGGTGACACTCTGGGGTTTTGTGGGACGTTTTGGGCATTGCGGGGAGCCGGGGCTAGCGGCGCTGGGGATTTTGGGGTTGCCCAGATTGCGCGTGTGGGATTGACATCCCAGTTGCCTCGTCTGTATTGGCTGGGAAGAAGACTTGTCTGGGTAAGCGAGGGGACTGGACATGGGCGAGTGAGACAAGACCTTTAATAACAGGTTGCCCATCGCCAGCTCCCTTTCTCCCCTCTCCTCTTCTGCTCTCTCTCCTCAGACCCGGCCAACCAACACCTCCGATCTCCAACATGAGCAACACCGTCGACTCCAAGTCGCCCAGCGGCGATCCCGCCAAGATTGAGGCTTATGCCGACGAGATCAACCATGGCGCCGATCTCGACGAGAAGTCGAAGCCCGCGGACTACAAGTCGGACGCCATTGAGGCCGAGCAGGCGGAGTTCAACATGGGAGTGTTGGAGGCCGTGAAGCTCTACCCAATGGCCTCCATGTGGGCTTTCATCATGTCCACGACCATTGTAAGCTACCCGGCCTTCTATCCACGCGCCCGCTTTGGGGAGCTGCAGCTGACAATTACGGGTAGATCATGGAGTCGTACTGCGTCTTCCTCATGGGTGCTTTCGTCGCCATGGACGAGTTCAAGAATACCTTCGGTGTCGAAGACAAGGATGGAGTCATGCAGATCGAGGCCTCGTGGCAATCTGCGCTTCAGATGGGCGGTCCTCTTGGTGCCATCATTGGTGTCTGCATCGCCGGTCCCATCACCAGCAAAATCGGATACCGCTGGGCCACAATCACTGGTCTCATGTTCCTGAACGCCTTTATCTTTGTTTTCTACTTCGCCAACTCGCTCGCTGTCATGTTCGTCAGCCAGCTTCTGGAGGGTGTTCCCTGGGGCATTTTCATCGCCAACGCACCTGCGTACTGCAGTGAGATCGTCCCCATGAGACTCAGAGCCCCTGCGACCCAGATGCTGCAGATGTTCTGGGCTATCGGCGCCATTATCGTGGGTGGTGTTTGCTACGTGTATGAGAGCAAGCTCGATCCCAGTGCCTACAGGTTTGTGATTCTTTTACCCTCGTCATTTGATTCATCTTTGCTGACCAGAAAATAATCCAGGGTCCCGATTGCGCTTCAATGGATGTTCCCCACCCCTCTCGCTATCCTCCTCTTCATCGCCCCGGAGTCACCTTGGTGGTTGGTCCGTAAGGGACGCCTCGAGGAAGCTGCGAAGTCAGTCCGACGACTTGGTCGTGCTTCGGGCACCAATGCCGAAGAATCCATTGCCATGATGCGCCGCACTATTGACCTCGAGAAGACCGTCAAGGACCCTACCTATCTGGAGCTGTTCCGGGGCGTTGACACATACCGCACCCTCATTGTTTGTGGTGTCTATGCGGCGCAGAACCTTACGGGTAACCTTATTGCCAATCAAGCCGTTTACTTCTTCAGACGTGAGTTACTTTGAATTTCTTTAACGATGAAAATTTATACTGACGTGTGAGCAGAGGCCGGTATCGGCTCTCAACTTGCCTTCGCTCTGGGTCTAATCACTTCCGCTCTGCAAACCATTTTCGTCATGCTTTCCTGGATTCTGACGACTTACCTCGGCCGCCGAACTATCTACGTCTGGGGCTCTTTGATTAATGTCGTCTTCCTGGTTGCGCTTGGCATTGCCGGATCCTTTCCGCGCTCTGATGCGTCATCTTTGGCAATGGCTTCTCTCGGTCTCATCGTGTCTGTCGGGTTCACACTGGGTCCTGCTCCCGCCTCCTGGGTCATCATCGCGGAGACATCGGCTATTCGCCTCCGTCCCTTGACGACCGGTATTGGACGTGCCGCTTACTATGTTGTGAACATTCCTTGCATCTTCCTCTCAACTTACATGCTTAACACGACCGTAAGCTTACTCCCCCCTTCTCCCGAAGTACCACAGCGTACTAATGATAAAAATAGGGTGTCGACTTGGGCGGCAGGTGCGGTTACGTCTGGGGTGCCACCGGTTTCGTCTGTTTCGTCCTTGCATACTTCTACATCCCTGAGATGAAGGGACGCTCCGTTCGCGAGATCGACATCATGTTCAAGCGCAAGATCCCTGCCCGCCAGTGGAAGAAGACCGTCATCGACATCAACGATGACGAGTAGACGGTTCGCAGCTACCATTCTTGGGTTATGCTCTTGGCCAAAATAATCCACCCGCTTGATTGATGAGTAGCACACGGGGTGCCTCCAGCTGGAGATGGAGGAGAAAGATGAGCAAAGGAGAAAGATGGAATTTGTTAAAGTACATAGCCATAATACAAACAAGGCGCCGCGATATGCCAAACCTTAGATGCACTACAACTACCGAGTGTTTGTTGCCTGCGGCATCGGCAAAGTGCCCCGTGAAAGAGAGCTTGCCCTAGATATTGAATCGATTTTTATTCGACTTCCTCACGATTTGTAAGGCCGTTTTACTTGTTTACAAGGCTAAGCAATACTTATACCTTCAAGGAGTGTATTGTACTCTTCTGGTATGAGCAGGTACCTAGTACTACTTCCACTTTTGACGAAGTTGTTGGTAAGAGCGGAACCATGCCTGGGCGCGGCACGTCAGACAATTCACACGCAAACCGCGCCAGCAATCAGGACACATTTACGCGATTGCAAGATAACTCTTCACGAGCTGTGTTGTCATCTTACATCGTGCGACGTGAGCGGCGCGGATAAGTCCATCTCATCTCAAGCTCATAGTGTCCTAGGGTTGCCGGAACCGGACGCCAAGTGGGACGACTATTGACGCAGCAGATACACGCGGGCTAATCACGTTCACCTTATTTCGCTTGTTGGTCTTACATCCCCTGGTCAAGAGGCCAAGTCTCTGGCTTGCTTTGAGACAGGGCGATGGACTTGAAGCACTGGAGCTTGGAACAATGCCCCTTTCAAGGTGTTTGTTGGAATTCTTCGTTTTCGTCTATCATTCTTCATCGTAAAACACGAAAGCTCTAACCTCGATACTTACTCTCGGTTCTCCCTCTCCTTCGGGAAGCTCAGTGTCCTTGAATGCGCAGTGAGGAACTCTCCTAGGAACTCCAAGCTTCTTGCTCGAGTCAACTTGCTTGAAGAAGAGCACATCATCGGTCTGTTGCTTGTCCTTGAAGTACCACTTGTGAGGAGAGTCTGTCGGTGGCCGCACCTCAACCGCCTCCGTATCGTGATCCGGGAAGCGCACGGGCACGAAGACCAGGTCTGAGTCGGGGATGGACCGCGCGTCAGAGACGGCGAAAGGATCCCGAGTGATGGGGCGAATTGGGCGCCACATCTGCCTCCTGTTAGTCCAAGATAGGCAAGCCGTTTTATGATTGGTCTTACGTTGATGATCTGGTAACGCGGCTTCTTGAGAAGGTCTGCGGCTCTGTCGCCAAGCCATCTTTGGGCGACTCCCTCAGCGGCATTAAACGACTGGTCGACATGGACACCGTACAGCGGCGCCGGGCCCTTGGGACCCTCGTTATCCTTGGGACCGCGGCGGATGATGTGCGTCAAGATGTGCACCTCGGAGGGTTTGGGGCTAGATGTGTGAGCCGAAAGCTTAATACATGCAACAGCGACATTGACAGGGTCAGGCAAAGGAGCTTGGCTTACAGATTGTCGGTCTCCTGCAGCACTTTCCAGCATAGCTTCTCCATCTCAGGGTAATTCACTCGCTTGATCTCCTCATCGTCATCCCAGTTGGTTACTTGACTTTCGTGTTTCACATAGTGAAAGCCTTGGACATCAAGCGTGAACTCGTCCTCCTTCCCGGTGACGTCGGTGATGGTTGTAGGGATGGCGACCTTGGGCTGGGGCTTTCCAGGAGTCGGACTTATCGTGCCGAGTTAGCCTCAATAAAGTTTCATTTGGCATTTGCTGTCTTACCCTCCAATGATCATGGGCACCAAAGGCACCCCAGGGTCATCAAAGTAGTTGATGGTCGTTTGCACTTGTCGTCCCGGCGCCATTTTGCAATAAGGAATGCTTTTCTGAGAAAATGACAACGCTGGCAAACAAAACGCGACTTCGCGGGGAAGAGGGCGACCGTTCAGTTATGAAATGGGCGCGCCTTTGATAGGGGCCCATGTGTTATCGGTTGTCTCCATCGCGAGTCAGGGCTTGGCAGCGACTGCGCACAACGACATGGCTACCCCGGCTGAACTAAGCTGAACATGTATCGATCTCCATATCAACGCGGGGAGTAATGAGGGGTCCGACTCACTGACCTAAACGCTCAGTCGCGATTTTTGGATGCCCAATCACCTCAGTATGGCTTGGGTTGGGTGAATACTCACGGATTCCCACTCACGATCTACCTGCCTCTCATTTCGATCCAAGTATAAGTCCTAGCTCATCATATCAGGTGGTCAGTGTCAAAAAGCTTGTGTCTCCAGCTTTCATCGAGTGCCGACATTGCATGCTGAGCGGGCCGCTGTATGGCAAGTGGATCTAGCTGATTGTGGAAGGCCTTCATGAGTCGCGAGCGCTTCTTCTCGTTACGTGAATGTATTCTGCTCGTCTTATCTTTCCTCGATCAGCATGCAGTTCATCTGTTTACATGTGAGCCGGCAAGCTGATCCCTGTGAGGTGCCATTGCCTTGGATCTCACGGTCACCGCTTGTTTTTAGTCCCTGCCGATTGATTGGATCGATTTGATTATCATCAAGCTTCAAGCCCAGCGGATTCTAATCTCGGGGATTCTTCTTACTCAGTAAGCTTCCCCGGTGGGATAGATCACGTTCCCCAGAATCGGAATAATCAGCGGGTTTACGTAAGTCACTGAACTACGTGACACAACCACGTGGAGTTGAAAGGGACAGACTGCAGCCGTTGTAATGATGGTGACTGGCGGTTCGGGCTTCTCGCTATAAGAAGCAGTGCGCCCTTTCATAAGTGTGTTCAGCGCCGATTGTATTTAGGGACATCGTCGAATAAAAGAATCGCGTCAAGTACCGTTGAACCACTTCTGAACAACGCGTTGGATTTTCACAACCGCATTTGCGCGGATTACCAGGGTCAAAAACATTTTATCAGGCATATCAATAAGGACTAATATCTCAATTCCCCCAAACGATGCAATCTTCGAGAATGAATTGAGTCGCTCTTTTTCGACTTGCAAAGGCTAAAAGGTGAAGAAGAGATGAACGAAAGCTATGCGGAAAGAAGAAGCAAAGCATTTATTGACAGACCACTTAAATACGGCGCTTCTCTTGTAATTCAGTCTTAAACTACCTGTTCTCAATCATCCATATCTGCATATAGCTCCCATACCATGCATAGGCTAGGGCGACTTCCTCCCGCGGGAAGAGACAGACGGTTGGGGCCTTTCCCAACCCATTCACCTTGTATTATGTTAGTAGACTGTGAGAATCAATGGAGGTTGGGTAATGAGGCCTCAACTCACAATCTTTGATCAGATGACCAAACTCCTTCTCGCAGACGGAAACGTCCTCTCGGAGCTTTTTCAAGGCTTTATTAAGGTCCGAGCCTTCGCCTTGCGGTTCATTCTGTTTGTGCGACTGAATGCTGACCTTGATGACGAACTCGAAATCTTCTCTCCACACCTGTTGGTCATGTTCGCTATAAAATATGATGTCCTTGTTGAAGGTGGTCCTGCTGTTCTCAGCGAACCACTCGTCGCTCCACTCATTTTCGAACGCGACTTCGCAGAACTTTTCAACAATCTCTTTGGCCCTGTCTTTCTCGAATCTCCCACCTTTCTCATTGCAGGACCCAGTCCACTGAACTGGAGGTGCCGAGGTTGTTTTTGCAGGTGGAGTAGGCGTTGGAGATTTGCTCAGACTCTTGGGAAGACAAGCGCATAGGAAGGGTTTGCTGTCTTTGGTCGGATCTATGCCTGGCATCACAATCAGTGTACATTGCTTGGCTTTGTCTTCTCCGCACTCAGGACAGTCTTGATCCATTAGGCATCTGAACTTCTCAGGAATTGGTGTCGTTGTTTTCTTGGGAGTGGATGAGGATGTTGTTGACGTTGTCGGCGAGGGTTTGCTTGTCACCATCTGGGATGTTGTTTTGATCGATATCACAGACGAAGAAGTGCCGTTCAACAAGGTTGTGCCGAGCCGTGGTACTGTGGTTGTGTTCGATATCATGGTGGAAAGTGCAGTACTGTTTATCGAGGGTGTACTGGACCGTGTTATAGATGTCGCATTTGATGTGATCGAAGAAAACAGAGTGCTGTTGATCGAGAGTGTGCTGGAACGTGGTGTTGATGTTGTGTTCGATTTTATCGTTGAAAGTGAGCTGAAGCTTGTTGAGAGCAGTCTTGTCATCGGGATTGACGTGTTGGCTGGCAAAGTAAATGACCAAGTACCGTTCGGCGACAACCGTGAACTTGACGGAAAAGGTGTCACAGACCCCCCTTGCACACTTCTGGACGTGGTAGTCATTATAGAAGCGTTGGACGAAGGCATGATCGTCGGCATGGAGCAGACTTGTCTCTTTTGAGCCGCTCCCCCCTCAGCTGGCGGGTCTGCGCCTTGCCAGCGTTGACCCTCTTCTGGCAGCCATTCCCCCGCCGAAACCTGTCCATAGACATCCGCAAATACTCTCCACTTCGCTGTAAGACCTTGGCAGGCGGATCTCGAGGGCTGATATTGGAGAATCACCTTGCCTCGATGAACCCTACAGACATCGTCCATTAGGGTCTTGATGACAGGAACAAGAAACCGATCGGACATTGCCACATCGTCAGGGAGACCCATCCACCAATCATAGTCCGCGAGTGTAAGCGTTGGTCTGGGATAGTCGACGATGTCAATCTCGATTTCGCCGTTAAACTTCCTTTGAAGGTCTCTGATAATGAGTTCCACGCTATCCTCAAAGTCGGGATCTACAGCGCCCGCTGCGAAGTGTTCATTGTTGAGATCACCTGTTGACGAGCCGTCGGGATTTCGATATACCGGCTTGCGTCGAGGCGCGAAGATGAAGGCTTTAATGTTCAAATGGTCAACATCTTCATCTGCCGGGTTGCCAAACATAACACCCACGTCTCCATCCCGCTCATAATCGGTCAGCTGGTCGAGGCCACGTTCGTTGTACTGAAACATTTCCTCGTCTTCGCCAGTACCATGTCGCCACTCGTCTAGAGCTCGTGTCATTTCTTGTTCATCGTACATCGTCCTTTCCCAAAAGTAAGCGGCCCAGGCACCTCGATTGGATACCACAAGAACGACTGTGCAGCCCCAGAGTCCTTCGATGGCGAGAGTCTCGGGCTTGTCTTTGAAAAGCACAAATTTCGTGGATACCGGCAAGTCAAATCCTTCAGGCATTGCCTTAAGAAGTGTGGGCCTGAATGCTCCTGGTTCTGCTGGGAAGGGATTTTGCGACGCCAAGCGTGCTTGTCGGATTTGCGCTGGCATCCATTGGCGGTAGCCACTATGAAAATCAAAAATGTCTTGCCAGAAGCCGTAGGCTGTATCCCCACGCTTCGCAAGTGGCCGAGGAACACTTTGCTGCGTGGGTTCATCGGAAGACTCTTGCGGCGGCTCTTGTGGTGGTATCAGGTGCAACGGCTGGCAACTACCGCAGGAATCTGGCCCGCATGTAGGTAGAGCCCTTGCGCTGGAGGTCTGCGTGGTTGCGACCGTGGTTGTGACTACTGAGTTGGCGACGCTACAACCTGTGACGGTGGTGTATGCGCTGCTCAAGCATGTTGTCGTAGCTGTCGTTTGGGTGGCATTTCCAACAGCCACAGCTGGGATAAACCAGTCAGTGAATGTTCTTGTTTTGATAGAAGAAGTCTCTCCGAACTTACCTTTAGATACTGAACAAAACACTGTCTGATGCGTGGCAGTGACGGTGACGGAACATGAGGAGGTAGTCTGGCTAGGACGTGGGCAGACCTTCCTGCGGGCAAGGCCCGGTTGGTCGGGATCCAAATCCATTTCGTCAGCAGCCCTTCCACCTCTCCATACCTGACCATCTTCCGGAACCCAACGGGATTCACCCTGTTGCCTCATGGTATCTGAGAAGATACGCCATTCAGCCCTTCCATTACATGACTCTGCTGGTTTGTACTGAACAATCGTTTTCCCGCGGGCCTTTTCACAGTTAACATCCTTCAGTATGTTGACTGTATCCTGAAGTGTCAAGTGGTTCTGCTGGTATCCCTTCCAATCTGACCAGAGAAGCATCGGTGTAGGATAGTCAAGAGTTGTAACCCAATGTGTAAGCCTGTTCTGGAACACACTGTTCAAGTCTTGTCTGATCCAGTCGACGTGGAGCGGGTATAATACCTGCATATTGAAGTGATTGGGATTCTGAAGAAAGCGGTCTGTCCGTGGAGTACCGTCATCGTTGTAGTAGCTATATCTCGGGCGTGGCGTGATGATGAAGGCCTGTATGTTGAGGCTCGCAATGTTTTCATCATCATTGTTCTCGTCGCCGAAAATCACCCCATGGTCTCCGGCCCCTGGGTCGTTCATAAGGTTTTCGATACCGTACTCATTCCACTCTCGCATTGGATCACCCTCACCAGACCCGAGACGATGATCAGCGAGCGCGGACCTGAAATCATTCAGGTTGTTTCTTCCCATTAAAGCCTCCGAAAAGTAGCTTACCCAAGCACCTCTGTTAGAGACAACAACCACTGCCGTACAGCCCCAAAGTCCCTCAATGGCTAATGTCTCCACATTGTCTTTGAAAGATACCCATTGAGTTGAGACTTTGAAATTGTGGACTGGGTCCATATGGGAGGGCGGAACTCTCAAAAGCTTAGGTTTGTAGCCTCCAGGGCCTGGGTTAGGGTCCGTCGCGGCGTTGCGAGCTTCCCTGATCTGCTCTGGCATAAACTCGTCGTAACCAAGTTGGTAGTCCTCAGGGCCACGCCATTCGCCATTGGCAGGATCGCCTCGTTTCAGGAGCGGTAGAGGTGGTTGGCTAGTGGAGGCTGGGTTGCTGGTAGATGTAGCACTTGGCGCCGGACAATTCTCACCGCAAACATCTGGGCCGCATGTCGGGTATGGCTTTTCGCTGCCAGTCCTTGTCGTGGTTACTGTGGTGACCGAGTTGAGCACGCTGCAGCCCGTAACCTCGGTCTGGATACTGCTGAGACACGTAGTAACGGCAGTTGCCTTTGCGTTCTCGCCTCCACGAATGTCTGGGAGATGAAAATGCATCAGAAAACTATTCCAACAGACTGACATTTTGGGGAAACCAAAGCGATGACTGACCTTGGGTCACCGAGCAATACACTGTCCGATGGGTCGCAGTGACGGTGTCTGTGCAAGAAGAGCTCGATGTTGAAGACGACGCTGAGGATTCTGAGGATGACTTGTCTTCGTCATCATCATCATCGTCGTCATCGTCGTCGTCATCGTCGTTGCTGTCGTCTCCCCCTTTGTCTCCGCCGCCGTCTTCTCCTCCTTTCTTGCCATCGTCACTAGGGCAATTCCCGATCTCGAACCACAAAATCTTGATACAGAACTCGGGCAGCTTGAACTCTATGCTGATCTTGGGAGGAAATCCTCCAGGAAAGCACCCGAGACATATGAATGGGATTAAGATAAAATCGTTGTCGTCATCACCACCTCCGCCGCCTTCTTTCGTCTTTTTCTCTTTCTTGACAATGACTGCGAAGCATTAGGCAATGAAACATGCATCGGCCAAAGGGCGGCTTCATCTCACCTGGCACAATCGTTGCTTCGGTGCTACCTGGTAGCGTTGTGGTAATAATAATCGGCGTTGTAACGGTGAGGTCGGAAAGAGTCAGAAAGGACGCTCCGGGGGGTGTTGTGGTGATTGTAGATTCAGCTTTATCTGTCCAATGCGCCGAGGATGAAGTTGTAGTGGGAGGGTCGACCCAAGGAACGGTCCACTTGCTTCCAGGCACTTCGGTATTCGAAGGTTGGACCAGAGAGGAAGCGGTATTGTTTTGAGTGGCGGTCGGAGATGATGGAGGCGTTTGACTGGTAAGAGGTATCGAGAAGGTGTGAATCAGACTGCTTGTCGTCAATATTCGACTGGAGGCCGAGTCTTTTGAGGTCAATGTTCTGCTGATGTCGACGCTGGAACTTCCTATTGAGGTGATCTTTGTCGAAGCAGGTGATGTCCGATTACTTCTTGAGTGATTCTCAACGGGTTTCGACGACGAGCGAGTCTGGGAAGTTGATGGATCTGTGTTGTTGCTCCAGATAGGCCCTTTGGAAATGCTGATTGGAGACAAAGTGGCAGAGAAAATGCCGTTTGTCGAATGCAGTGTTTCATTTCGCCGCGCGGTCTCAGCTGTGGCGGAGATCGTCGTACCTGGAGGTTGAGATGTCTGCTTACTCGTCAGAAATTTCGAGAAGCCACCGCCCTCTCAGTCACTTACTTGGGTGATGTTCTGGCTAGGGAACCCCTCTGACGAGCTACAGAAGCCTAAACCATCCTGACAGGTCGGATGCGGGGCCGGGCTTGACGAGTTACTGAAATGACCAAAGGTGTGACTTTGAGCGTTGTCTTGGAAAGCCTCTGCGGCATACAGTAGCCACACAAATAGAACAGAAAGACGGGTGAACATGGTTTCCCAAAGTGATCAACGATGCCGAATGCGGCAATGGCTAGGCAGTCAGAGGTGACAGCACTGAAAATAGGGAAGCTTAAGGCTGGGTGAATGATAGCTGATATACTGATTGCAACGAATATCTCTTCGAACTGTTTTGTGCACATGTTCGAGGGATAGTGTGCCTCCTTACGTTACGTATACTCACACTGCATATCGTGAAGTTTTGGCGATGCACGTCGCCATGTAACCTTGCAGCGGTGTGAGGAGGTTTGGCTGAGTGCGCCAAATGCTGTACATGCCTTGTTTTGAGTCTGAGATATATTTCGACTGTCAAGTCTTAGTTCCTTCATCTAAGAAGCCACCTGTAGATTTCTTTCTGCCCTTCATGTTTCCTGCTCGTACAAACTCGCTTATGATGAATGGAAATGAGAGAATCTCGTTCGAGTGGTGCTATGACGGACTACCTTACAGTGTGATTATGCAGTCAGGGGATGCTGGAGTCCATGGATCTGAAAGTGGAGTGTGCGCTCGACAGACAACAAACAACTGCGAGCTATGTGAGATGATGGTGAGCTCCATTCGTCGTACCCAAACACCCCTTGCGGCCAGAAAGCCCGGTTTGCCTAAATTAAGCCGCGAAGCTTCCGCGAGGTCTGATGTAGGCCCAGCATACCTGAGCATACGGACAGCAAAGATGGTCCCATCACAACTTGACAATGAGCTTATGCATGATTCCAGTCCCAAAAGATGGACTGGATTAAATTTGTCATTCTCAATATCGATCAATAGATTTTACTTAGATCTGAGTAGGAAAGTTCGTGGTTTCAATCTCCTCAGGATACCTCAGACCAGCGGAATCCCGAACTTCGTCCATAATTTCCATAACCAAGATGCTTTCATCAAGCCCTAAGAAGCTTCCTTCTTTTCTTCCCTCGATTAGAGCCCTTCCGGCATCATCAGCTTCCCAAAAGAGACCGTGACCTTCGCCCTCCGGGTGAGGCGTTAAGCCATACCCGTTATACCATCCGCTGCCAACTCCCGGTCCCGGTTGCGGCCATTGCTTGTCTTCTACCGTGCCATCTTTCAGAATAAGTCTTGTGCGAGTGGGTCTGTAGGCAGGAGGAAACACTTGGACTTCTCCCTTGGGACCTTGAATCCGAATATTGGGCACGATCGCATCCTTTGCGCCTGCCATAGCATCGTTAGACAACCCCAAAGACGTTGAGGCAACTGCATGTGCCGTGCCACCGTTTTCTTGGCTCCGAGGAAACTCCAGAAGAATGGTTGTCATCGCGTCAACACCAGTAGGGGCATACTTGGCAACGGCGCTCTTAATGATGGGCCGTTGTCTAGAATCGGCCGGCTGCGTGTGATACAGTGTCTGGAAAACCCAAGTCAAACTGTAGATCCCTCCGTCTAGAAGTATTCCACCGGCGAGACGAGGGTTGACCATGATGTGATCATCATCATCGAACAGCCCTGCGTAAGGTAGGCTGTGTTCGGCCAAGACGCGTTCAACTGGTCCAAGTCGGCCCGAAGTGACCAACTCGCGAACGTAGATGGACAAAGGGAAGTACCGCGTCCACATCCCTTCCATCAGGAAGAGGTTCTTCTCTTTAGCCTTTGCGGCCAAAGCTCGAGCTTGCTTGGCGTTGACTGTGAATGCCTTCTCACAGAGGACGTTCTTTCCGGCCTCCAAACACATCATGGCGTTCTGGTAGTGGTGCGAATGGGGCGTCGCGATGTAGATTACATCGACCTTGGGATCCTGAGCGAGCTCTGAATAAGACGAGTAGGCGATTGCGTGCTCTGGCGCACCACATTCTCTTAAAAATGATTCCGCCCTCGATTTTGACCACGAAGATGCGGCAGCAACCAGTTCATGGCGAATGTCCTTTACATTGCGCGTGCAGGGGTCGACCGAAAGATCCTTTCCGCTGTTAGAGAAGATTAGCATGCTATTCAGTATCCAGTCTGCAGAAACTGGCTCACAATGCTTTTGCGATGCCTCCAGTGGCAATGATGCCCCAACGAATGATCTGTGGCTCGGGCATGGTCGCGTTCTGGAGTTAGGCTACTTCACTCGCAGAAGGTAGTTAGAAAGTCGAAACTTGCTTGCAGTCATTCGGCCGTGGAATTTATAGAGACTGAACTTCAATCACGACACCCACTATCCCAACTCTGAAAGTCAGCTCGGCAGCTTAATAGATGGGGGAAAGGCGTAGGGCGTGCTGATGATATGTAGGTAATAGGGCGTAAGGCGATGTATGCCAACGACGAAACCACGCCCTAAGTGCATGCTGGAATAACAGTCATTAAGATCCAGGCTGGAGATCACAAGTACCCGTAGGTTTCGAGATGGGTCAGTGATATTGCAGTTGTTACGAACTTGCAATGGGTCTCCCAACCGGCAAAAGTCAAAGTCTGGAACTTCGAAGACAGAGCAAAAACAAATGGGCCCTAACCAGGGATCGAACCTGGGACCTCTCCCAGAATGGAGGAGTTGTGTAGACAACCCTAAGGGAGAATCATACCGCTAGACCATCAGGGCTTATTGCGCTGTCAAGCGCATCGTGAGTTGTGGTGGATGCATGGGTTCGAGTGCAATTTTGTTTATGAAGAATGGGATGTTGATTGCGCGTCTGTGGAGTTGAAGCGGGTCACGATAGGGTTGAGCTGTTTGGGCTTGGACGTGTTGAGTTACTGGGTGGGGGACAACAGTAGCGTGGATCGGAAGGGAAGCTGCACGACAAGACCAGACACGAGGTATCGAGTGCATATTTCTCGTAAATGCTGAATACTTCCCGGAGTCCTCAATTTAATGAAGATTGAACGCAGGTCACTGGTCCACGGGTTGACCCTGGTGCGGGGCTTGACGAGTAGCTAAGCAAAGGAAGTTGATTTCAAGGTAATGGAAATAATAGACAACCTTAAGGCTGCTAGGCTGTGCTGCAAATGTCATGTTCATTTGTCAGTGACGAAAACGTCGGTTGCATGTAATTTCAGCCAACCTAACGGGATTGGTATGCATTGTCTCATGCACAGTCAGATGATGGAAGTGGCGGGGTTGAGCAGCACGTGTCTGACCAGGCTGAAGGCATGGCAAGCCATGGATGTCGGATTTTCAACAAATTCTTCGATCCCTCGACACTAGGGACCATCTCTGATGCCATCTCCGATACCCGAGACCAACAAGATATCAGCGAATTCCTTTGGAGATGGAAGCCATAGGCATTGCTGCTAGCCTCATCGGCATCGGCCAAGCGTTGCTGACCGTTCGCAATGTGGTGGAAATGCTTCAAGAAATCCCGAAAATTGGCAATGAGCTAGCGTCTCTTAAGAACGAGGTAGGTTGAAAGATTGGCACGTGTATCTCAGTAAAACAGCACCATTTCGCGTGACTGTGGCTAATGTTGAAAACGTGTCGTAAAGATCGAAAGTCTTCGAGCCGCTGTGGAGGCAGCCAAGACTCAAGGAACAATATCCCGCGAGAACGAGATCGAAGGTCCGGACCTTCGGATAGCTAAGGGTCAGATTATCGATATCGCAAACAAGCTCGAGAACGTGCGCCTGAAATGCGTCCAGATTGGACACAACGGCAAGATCAAACCCAAAATGGCGAGATGGTTTTGGATGCAGAAAGAGCTACGGCAGTGTCGCGACAAGGCTCGTGATGCCAGGGCAGCCCTTCAGCTTGCGCTTGCTACCCTGAACTTGAAAAGTACAGTGTATGTTTACGTTGTCCACGAAATACACGAGTTTTCTCGCAGATCTGCTAACAAGATATGGACCAAAGACAAATGTCACTGTATGTTGAAAGATTCGCTCTGCGACCCGCTAGCCATCATGATTCGGAGTCTGCTACGGATATTGAAACCGATGTTTCGCAGGAAATTTTCAACTTCCCCACAGCTTCTGCTTCGGAAAGCAAGTCCAACGATGACAAACATCACATCCTTCCTAGGCAAGAAGTAGAAAGAGAAGCGGGACCACTCTCATTACTATTTACTAATGGACGACCATCGGACGAAAAGAAATTAGTCGGAATGGACATGGTCGTTTTCCGAGCCAGGCTCTCAGGTGCCGGCAAGTGTCCACAACCATGTCGCTGCCGCTGCCACAATTCCCGGCCTTCCGTAGCCAAATATCCTAGTTGGATCGGAGCTCTCATCGGGTCTCTATCTGTCACATACGACCATTGCCTACTGCTTGGAGGTAACAGTGAGTGTACTGAGCTCGGCTGCAAAGGTAGAAGAAGGTCTTCGGCCACCTTTGAGTACCACTTACCGGCGTGGGTTTGCGCACAATTTGTCTCGTTTCAGGTTTACATTGACAGCTTCCGCCAACTACGCACTTCTTTGCGGTCAGTCAGAGTGGTGCAAATAAATCATAAGATTTTGTTGGCTTTGGAGAAGCAAGGCGTAGAGGCAGTCAAGGGGTCCATGCTAGCGTATGGCCGCCTACTTCCAGATGACCGGAGTTCTGCAGGATGGGATATCATGTTGGTGAGTACTTGAACTGAGACCAGCTACATTTACTCGCGAGCTGGCACAGCTAACAAGCGACGTCTCTTTAAGATGGCAATAACATGGGCGACACCAGAAGTATTGGAATTCATGACAGGACTTTGGGCAGAGGATTTACGCAAGGACACATTTAACCCGTGAGATTCCATTATCGCATAGTTTGATCCGTTCAGCTGACGTCGAGCTTCCCGGCCTCTTAGAAATTGGGTCTTTGCGGCCAACCGTGAACTGAAGAGACATGGTTTGTCAGACCAAAAGGCACAAGCTTTGCGCCTTATAGCCTCGTATGGAGAGGAAATCGTTGACGCGCCACAAACCGAGCTTCACGAAGCTGTTAGTCCGGACGGACCTGCAAAAAATAGAAATGGCCTTCGAAGCATTGTCTCCAGATATCCCTGGACTGTTGATCAGTTGAATGGCGAAGGGCGTACACCTTTGACTCTTGCAGTCAGAAATGGTAACTACAACGTCGTGAGAGACCTTGTTTGCCTGGGATGCAATGTTGACCGGCCGGAATACGACGGAGCTACTCCACTAATGGTTGCTTCCGCAAGTGGGAATATCGACGTAGTGCAATATTTACTAGATGCTGGCTGCTCTGTCAACGCAACTTCAATGTCTGGAAATACGGCGATACATTATGCTGCGGATCCAATTGTCGAGCCAGTAGAAGACCCAGGGGCTATTTTGCAAATTTTGCTTTCTGCAGGGGCCTCAGCCAAAACATCAACTATCCATGGAGACAGTCCCTTGCACAACATGGGAATTTCTGGTTGTGGAAAGCTTTCTAGACAAGCAGCAATGACTAAAATACGCCTACTTCTGGAAGCTGGAGCTGATGTCAATGCCATGAACTATGGAAGAGAACAACCATTGGAGCGAGCTATCTTCCACGATCAGCCAGAGGTGGTTAAGTGTCTCATCGAAGCTGGCGCTCGGGTTACGAATATGCGTCGGAAACAAAATCTGCTACACATATCAGCGAGACTGGCTCGGCTTAAAGCCCTACAATACCTGGCAGACATGCAACTTCCCCTTTTGCATGTACACCAGGAAGACGATTGGGGTGACACCCCGTGGGATCACTTCATCAGGGTTCTGTCCTGCCCAGAATGGGACTTAGGCTCTTGTCGAAGGCCTACCTCTCAAGAGAGAGATGCATTTGTCAAACTGTATAAGAAGCTTCGGGGTCGAAGCTTAGAGCTTGACATTAGCAGACTACAGCGCATACGCCGACATCTCGAAGATGGCATTCAAAATGGAGCGATGTCGGTCTTGCAGTCACTGATTAGTGAAAAGAGGAACTGGGAGCAGTGGCATTCGCTGCGGACGTACGAGACGATTATGCTTCAGGTTCGGGAGCCCATGGTAGAAGCAGCGCTCGAGTTGATCGACAAGAACATTGGGATTTTGCAGGAGAAGATTGATGCGTCACCATGGCATCAAGTGTCACGTTGGGATCCTCCAAAAGCAATACCTTCGTGTGAACATGAGATCGACACTGAATTTTAAACCCAACGAGGCCGACGACGATGCAGAATGCGAATCAATTGAAGCTGAGGAGTCGAGGACGGAGCGGTAGAACATGCGAGGGACAACGGGCCGAGGCTACGGGGACTATAATGATTGAAGCAGCGACGAGCTGACGGAGATGTCAAGACGTAGTACTTGAGCCAATACTTCATACATGTGTTGTAGGACAGCAGGATCCTGCGTCTTCGTACCTTTTCCCTTTCGATTCGCGTAGTGCACTTTTAGCACCATGCATGAGATGATTCATCTTGAGAAGTTCTATGAACGAGCTGACAGAGCCTCGAATCCATTCTGGGATCCATTCTGGGAGGCATTTGATGCCACCGACAAGCATAATTTCCTCGTGTTGCATAGTTACACTCAGGCTTCAGGTGATCGTACCTCTGCTTTGATGTTTGTGATTCTGCATGATGTGCGTAAGCTTCGAAGAGAAGCGGCGTCTTTCGGACTAAGAGACCTTCACACTTCGAGCATTCATCGGGACTTACAAATGTTTTGCCGGGAGTATGAGCAAGGTAGTTAACTGTTCATTCAGGCGGCATGGCTGGCGCGCGCTTAATCAGACTCAGCTATGACGGCAATCGACAACTCCGCTCGGTGTTCTAGACTGAGCTCTATTCCCGCTGAGCAAGGATGGCGGGTAGAGATGATCATTGGGCCACAGCGTGAGAGTTGCAACCTTGACTGTTGAGAAACCTTCCGCGCATCGACTCCAACCGAAGGCAACCTCATTTGTGGGGAAATGCTTTAAATTTACTAGGAAATGCTGAGGTCTATAGTTCTCGAGACGTATGTACGATGCTTTAGGAATTCCAAACCAGACCCGATAAAGGAAACGCTCATGATGATGCCCACTTTCAGTACGAGCTCTCGGTGTATCCCACCCACCGCAATGCCGACACCGTTAATAAAGTATGTATCGATTACGAAAACGACGCCATGCGCGTATTCGCTGGATTATGCTTCGGAAATCCGCTGTGTCTAGACGTGTCTCAATAGCGCACTCAAGAGCGCTTGGCGGGAGTAAGGTAGACGTTGAGGGGGCCCTTCTCCCAGAGCAGGTAAATCTTCTGCTTGCCGACCCAATCAAGGCTGTCGTCGGCGATCTTCATGTCAAAGTTGTAGAGCATGCGTGCGAGGATGATGCGCATCTCGACGTAGGCCAGGCTAAACGCGTATACGTATTAGTCACCGTATTCCCAGTGGCCTGGCGCGTGGGAGATTACTCACTTTCTACCGATGCAGTTGCGGGGTCCGAGGTGGAAGGGTTGGAAAGCGTCCTTGTTGTCCTTAGCGAACGCCGGGTCGCCAAGCCATCTCTCGGGGTGGTAGCTCTTGGGGTCCACGAAGTTCTTCTCGGAGTAGTACATGGCCCATTGGTAGACGGAGACGGTAGTCTATAAAATGTCAGACAGAGCTTGTAGACGATGTGAAGATGAACTTACTCCCTCGGGAATGAACTCGTCGCAAATGGTGGCGCCTCCGGCGGGGACGACACGGGGCAGGCCGATGGGCACAGGAGGGTACATGCGGAGAGCCTCCTCCAAGCAGGCAAGGAGGTAGGGCAGGTTGCTGGAAGATACAAAGTCGATCTCGCTCTCATCCTTGAAAGCGGAGCGAACCTCGTCGGTGAGCTTCTTCATCGCGATGGGGTTCGTCAAGAGGAAGTAGGTGACGCCGGAAAGGAGGGTGGCCGTCGTCTCGGAACCACCAATGATGAGAATACTGCTGTTGGCCTTCAACTTGGGGAAAGTCATGTTCTGTTGCGGCGTTAGCTATGAAGTGAGCATGGCAATAGAAGCGCCACTTACCCAGTCGTCCTTCTTCCTCAACAAACCCTCAATAAGATCGGGTCGCTCGTGTCCAATGTCTATGCGGCGCTGCAGCTTGGCCGTAGTGAATTCCTCGTGCTTTTGTTGCTCGCGCTTGACACTCTCAGGGACCAAGGCCATCATGATAGTTCCGAGGAAGGGGTAGTGGGTAATGGTCTGGAGGACGGTGCCGACACGCGCCATCTGGAAAATTGCCTTCACCCAAGGGTGGTAGTCGGAGTTGTCCAAGCTGCCGAAAGCCTCGCCGAAAGCCAAGTCGCCGATGATGTCGAAGGTGGTGTAATTGTACCAAGCAGCCAAGTCGAGAGCCTTAGCACCCTTGTCGCAATGTTCGTGAAGCCTTTGAAAGAGGAGGTCGATGTACTGCTTGATGATGGGCTGCTGGTCACGCATGCTGCGCTCGCTGAAACCGTGCGCCAGGGAGCGACGGAGGGCGGAGTGCTCCTCACGGCCGGAGTTGACGATATCGGAGGGGGCGCCGGGAACGGCACGGTAGAACTTCTGCGACTTGTCCATCTCGGCGCCGCCGCTGGGGCGGTGACCCATAATGTCCTTCCATGCGCGGGCGTCGTGGAACGCAAGCTCGTCGGGGCCGATACGCACAACCGTTCCGTACTGTCTATGAAGGTCGAGCATATCGTAGGGCAAAGTACCCGTGCACAGCTTGTAACAGAATGGCAGCCATGTTGCGCGCATCCAAAATGGACCGGGGAATCTTCGGAGTGGGTGGAGGTAGAGGTTGTAGAACATATGCCCGAAGGTGTAGAGGAAGAACTGGTTTAAAGTTTGTTAGATTACCACGATCATCGTCGGTACAGGTACCCGAGTCAACTTACCAAGCCAAAAGCCAGGCCGACCGTGTTGGCCAGACTAAAGGTGAGGAGCGCCATGATGCGTCTAGTGTCTTTGAAGGCCGAGATGCAACAAAAAGAGTGAAAAGGGTGTTCGAGAAAGAGCTTGAGGCCTCAGCTCCCAAACCGTCTGGTAGGGCGTTCCATCGCGCTGGTTTTATTCCTGACTTCAGACGAGAGCGAGTACGACAAGCAGCTGTCTAAGCCTTAAAGGCGGGGATTGCCCTTCTGGAGCTCCATGGGCAACAAGGCCCTCTGCTCGGGTTCTAGAAGAAGTCCTATCTCTAGGTGAACATGTGCAAAGTGACACCTCCCTCTCGTTCCGCCGACATTGCTTCTGCCCATTGCTCGCGCGAGCTCGACTCCACCCGCAGCGTTTCACTCGAATTACCGACGGCCAGCAAAGCGACGGTTCCCTCTCCGCGCAGTCGCGGCCCGCAGCCGGTATGAAGAGAGCGTCCATGCTTCGCTAGCAATGCCACGCTGCCCAGCATAGCACGGTGTAAGGGAGTCAGTCGGTCTCGGGTTCGCTCTCGCTCTGGATTGGTCGATACGCGCTAGACGGGATGGCTCCGCCGCTTCACTACCGAACGGCATCTGGATGACAGCTGCTGAACCAACGAATAGCCTGCCGAGGATTACGATCACCGCGGGGTTCATCGCCGTTGAGCTGGGTTTGGGAAACTGTGCCACAAGCTTGCCCTGACAGCTCATTACTCGCGTCGCGGGGGAAAAGTATGGCGGAACATTGGACGGAGGCGGGTTGACCATTGGCCCTCTCGAGTCTGCCAGCTCTGCCTGTGGCTGCGTTCAAGAACGGGTCGCAGATCACTCGTCGCGTCCCATAAAGCTGGACGAACCCCAAATTTCCGCCACACTGGCGGGACATTAGATGGCATCGACACCCCGAAAGCGACGCCGAGGT